AAAGCTTCGAGTGCTCAAATTCTGGAAGCTGGAGGTGCTGGAGGAATGTGTTGTGGAGGAAGGAGCATTACCTGTGCTTAAAGATTTGGAAATAAGATGCTGTCAAAATCTGAAGATGCTTCCTGATGGACTCCAGTACATAAAAACTCTCCGTGAACTCAAATTGCAAGACATGCCAGCCGAGTTCACTTTTAGGATAGCAGATCATCTGAGTCAGGATTGGTATAAGATTGCTCATATTCGCCACGTCTACATAGAAAATCAATAAAACTTGGCAGAACTGAGACATTATGTTGCAGTGAGAAATGTGTTGGAATCAACCAAGAACAAGCTAATAAAATTGTACAAGGCATAGTCTGTGGACTTCTTCCATTTTTCTCTCAATCTACCTTCTCACCCTTCTTCCCCTTTCAATCTAAATGTTTTATTTTCTCCTTTACTGGTTTCACGTCCAAGATCCCAGATAACAAAGATATGGGGCTAAATGTAACTTTGACCAATATTCTTGAGTTCTTTACAACATGGTCTTGATTCTTGGGTATGATATGGAATGAAGTATAGAAATATTGTGTTAATTTTCTGTTGTCATTAGTTTTTGTACTTTTTTACATCTTATATAAACTTATTAAACTTGTTAAATATATTTACTTTTCTCCACTTTTAAATATGAATATATAGAAGTTACATTCAACTATAAGCAAATCAGATATAATAACCATTAGGAGTGACACTCCAACAGCAAAGAATATATGAAGTTCTATTTGTCTACACTTCGCAATAATCTTCATATCTTTCATTCAAAAAAAAAAAAAAAAAAAACAAGAATTCCTCATATCTTCACTGCAATTAGTGAATAAGAATCAAGTGGTTGATGTTCCCATTTTTAATCTTACCCTCCTGTGCTGATGTGAGGAGCATCTGAAAGATCTGCAAAGGTTACAGTGAACTCATAAATATACAGAAATAGGAAAAGTAGTTGATGTTCCCATTTTTAATCTTACCCTCCTGTGCTGATGTGAGGAGCATCTGAAAGATCTGCAAAGGTTACAGTGAACTCATAAATATACAGAAATAGGAACTATAATGGAAAATACCGAAAGGATGTTCATCTCAGGTTCCCTTCTTTCTCGCAGTACAATATTAAATGGGGTAAAATGTACTGAACAGAAATGCCTCGGAGACTAATAATTTACTGGGATATGATTAAATTAACCTCATTGCATTTCTCCCCGCCTCCTAAACTGACCTCAAGTTCCTGGTCGAAAATTTCTGTCGCCGCGATTTTTCGAGTTACTGTAAGCTGAGAGAGAATTCACCATTGTAGAGGCGTACCGCGTATAAGGAATCCCATTTATATGAATCGAAAGATCGGATGGAGATTTTATTGGGAACAGTTCAAGACTGACCCATGAGAGTTTGCAGAGAGACTAAGTGGCTAAAGAAAAGTCAAATTGAGAAGATGAAATCTTGCTATATGTCTTGGGAGAGTACGGATGGAAGGACCCAGATGTTGAATTTCCAAGTACGATTTTGTATAATCTACATGGATTAAATCACCTCTACTTGTATATATCATCTAGCTAAAAAATTTGTTCCTCATTGTAATGTACCAAAATTAAAATTCATAATGATTTAGTGTATTATTCCAAGTTAAGTGTCTTATTTTAATTCAATCAATCAACAAATCATAAAAATTATTACTGATTATCTAAAACTAGAGTTATAATAATTAGAGGTTAATTGGACTTAGGAGACAATCGAATTGTTTTTAACATCTAATAAGCTATGAACAAAATATACCTTAGTTCTTTGTGTGAAGTTTCAGATTTTCCCAGACCATGGAACTTTGGATGGTTATGCTTAAAAATGAAAACTATGGTACAGAATCTGGGTTGTGTCCAGAGATTGGAAAAAAAAAAGACTGGACCATTTAAACCAGGTGAGTTTCCTTGTTCCGGAAAGGGGTGTATGAATCAACCCATTGTAAATCATCAGCAAACAGAGGTGTTAAGTGATGGTACAATGAGAGGATGCTTTAATG